CCCTTTCAGGAGCTGTACCTTCCACAAGAGCCAGGAAAACAGAGGCGGGAGCCGTCAGGGAGGCCAAAGGCCCGCCTGTGCTCCAGAGCGCAGGGCCTTGCCTCCACCGGCCTCAGCTTCGCCGGCTCCTTTCTTCCAGGAGCTGCGTATCAAATATTTCTTTTTCCCTGCAAAACCAAAAGGAGATCACTTCGTTTTAGTCAGCAATTGTGTTTTAATAAACATAAGCCCTCTCCCAAGGCAACAGAAATCAAAGCAAAATAAACAAATGGGATCCTAACCAAACTTATAAGCTCTTGCAGAGCAAAGGAAACCATCAACCTATGGACTGGGAGAAAATATTTACAAATGATGTGACTGAAGAGGGCTTGATTTCCAAAATATACAAACAGCTCATACAACTCAATAATAACAACAACAACAAAAAAACCCAATAGAAAAACGGGAAGACCTAAATCCAAATTTCTCCAAAGACATACAGATGGCCAACAGGCAAATGAAAAGATGCTCAACATCACTAATTATTAGAGAAATGCAAACCAAAACTACAATGAGGTATCACCTCACACTGGTCGGAATGGCTATTGTTATGAAGACTACAAGTAACAGGGGATTTCCCTGGTGGCGCAGTGGTTAAGATTCCGTGCTCCCAGTGCAGGGGGTATCACCTGATCCCTGGTCAGGGAACTAGATCCCACATGCATGCCACAACTAAGACCCGGTACAACCAAATAAATAAATATTTTAAAAAAAAGTCTACAAATAACAAATACTGGAGAGGATGTGGAGAAGCGGGAACCCTCCACCCTCCTCCTACACTGTGGGTGGGAATGTTAAGTTGGTGTAGCCAGTATGGAAAACAGTAGGGAGATGCCTCAAAAAAGTAAAAACAGAATTACCATATGATCCAGCAATCCCACTCCTGGCATATACCCAGACAAAACTCTAATTCGAAAAGATAGGGACTTCCCTGGTGGTCCAGTGGGTAGGACTTCACCTTCCAATGCAGGGGGGGTGGGTTCCGTCCCTGGTCAGGGAGCTAAGATCCCACATGCGTCATGGCCAAAAAAAACAAAACACAAAACAGAAGCAATACTGTAACAAATTTAACGAAGACTTTAAAAATGGTCCACATCAAAAAAATCTTAAAAAAAAAAAGAACAGATACGTGCACCCCAACATGCATTGCGGCACTTTTCCCAACAGCCAAGACATGGAAACAACCTAAATGTCCATCGATGAATAGATAAAGAAGATGTGGTACACATATACAACCGAATATTACTCAGCCATAAAAAAGAACAAAATAATGCCATTTGCATCAACACAGCTGGACTAGAGATTATCATACTAAGTGAATTATTTGTAGTTTTTTTTGGCCATGCCACACGGCTTGTGGGATCTTAGTTCACCAACCAGGGATGGAACCTGGCTGCAGCAGTGAGAACACCAACTCCTAACCACTGGACCGCCAGGGAAATTCCCATACGAAGTGAAGTAAATCAGGCAGAAAAGGAGAAATACCATATGACATCACTTATATGTGGAATCTAAAATATGACACAAATGAACTTATTTACAAAACAGACACAGACTCACGGACATAAACAAACTTATGGTTGCCAAAGGGGAAGGGTGGGAAGGGATAAAGTGGGAGTTTGAGATTAACAGATGCACACTGGTATATATAAAATAGATGAACATCAAGGATTTACTATATAGCATGGGGAGCTATACTCCGTATCTTGTAATAAACTGTAGTGAAAAAAATCTTAAAAAAAGAACACAGACACACACACGTGTATACATATAACTGAGTCACTTTGCCGTACACCTGAAAGTAACATAATATTGTAAATCAATTATACTTCAATTAAAAACAAACAAACAGGGCTTCCCTGGTGGCGCAGTGGTTGAGAGTCTGCCTGCCGATGCAGGGGACACGGGTTCGTGCCCCGGTCCGGGAAGATCCCACATGCCGCGGAGCGGCTGGGCCCGTGAGCCATGGCCGCTGAGCCTGCACGTCCGGAGCCTATGCTCCGTGACAGGAGAGGCCACAACAGTGAGAGGCCCATGTACCGCTAAAAACAAAAAAAAAAACAAAACAAACAAACAAACAAAAAAACCTCCATAAACAGAGAAGTCAGTGTTTCATAGGTACCAAGTTTCCGTTTGGGAAAATGAGAAAGTTCTGGAGATGATGGTGGGGATGGTTGCCCGACAGTTTCAATGTGCTCAATGCCACTGAGCTGTGCGCTTAAAAGGGTTAAGATGCTGAATTTTACGTTATGGGTATTTCACCAAAATGAAGAAAAATAAACTACAAAGAAAAAATGGTGAAATAGCAAATTGTCCTTCTGTTAACAGAAAATTACATGATCAGTTAGTTGACTGGCTGCCCCTCTCAGGATCAACAAGGAATATGATCCTGAGGGGGACGACCCAAAGGTAAACGGAACACAGCAGCCTAAGAACCCCAAGAGCAGACCCAAACCCTGTCATGGTGCCGAGGCTCGATGGTTTGTGCACAAGACCCTAAACACAACTACGGTGTGAAAAGAAGCGGGAGGTGGACGCACCGGGACAGACCCACTGCCCAACTGACACCCGGCCCAAGGGACCCCTGGCTGCCCAGGCTCGGCGCTCAGACCGCGTCCCTAAGGCGGCAGGGCACGGCTGGGGCACAGCCCATAGCCCTCCACAGGCATCTGGAGTGCCTGCAGCCGGTTGAGGCTGCGGGAAACTCAGGACGCCCTCCGACTGGCAGCCCGAGTGGGAGGGTGGTGCCAGCTGGAGATGGGCCGCTCAGACCTCACTCTCCCGGGAGCACTGTCTCTTTACTGGGTGTGCAGGGCAGCCGCTGAGGCTGGGGACAGTCTGTACCACGAGACCCTAGTTGAGTCTTCAGCCTGTCACCGCCACGCGGCCCCGCCTGCTCCCAGCAAGGCCTGGCAGCCGGCCCAGAGACGGGATTAGGGGCTCCAGACCGCCAGTCCAGGGCGCTAACCACACCAACGTGAGAGGAACATCTTGATCACCGCATTCTTCCCGCCAGCCAGGGATGTCCGGGCAGCGGCTGCTGCTTAATCTCACTGTTTCCTCAAATAGCCGTGGCATCGAGGCAACGGGGAAGAACGTTCGGGAGGCAAACATCAGCCCCACGAAGGATGTAGGGCGCGGCGGGCCCAGCTCTGCCAGCTCGGACCAGGGCCCCTCAGCCCAGCCACCGCAGCCGCCGGCACGTGGAGACGAAGCCCTTCAGACGCAGCACGGCCTGCCTACCGGTAGCTGAGTGAAGGTCCTCGTATGTACTTCTCCTCAGCCGTCTTGTAGTCCACAGCGTCCACCGCGGAAATCGCGCAGATGATGGCCTGCAAGAGGGCAGCACACGTCAGGCTCGGGCCAGGCCCGGCGGCTCGCACGGAGCTTGGAGGAGGCCGCGTGGGCAGGTGGTCCAGCCACGCCCCGGCTGCCAGGGCCCTCCCAGCTCAACACTCGTGCAGTCTGCAAAATCTCTGCTTCTGATGTTTCCTAATTAAATCTACAATGCTCTCTTTTGGATGAGATGGGAGTTCATATCACTAAAACCAGAGAAAGGCAGAACCTGGGTACTTCCCTAGCGGTCCAGTGGTTAGGACTCCATGCTTTCACTGCCAGGCCTGGGTTCAATCCCTGGTTGGGGAACTAATAAGATCCCACAAGCCGTGTGGTGTGGCCATAAAAAAAGAAAAAAAAAGGAAAACAACAAGAAAACACAAAGAAGTAATCTGAATATACAATAGATGCCTGATATCAAAAGCTGTTACTCTTTGGAGTGAAATCATAGTATCATAGCTATTTATCTTTAAAGAGTTCTTCTGCTTCAGAGTAGGGTCTCTCTCCCCTCGGCACGGCTGACACAGGGGCCGTCCTGGACTGTGGGGTGTGGAGCGGCATCCTGGTCCCCACCCACAGGATGGCAGAAGCCCCCCACTCGTGACGACCACAGACAACCCCAGACATCGCCCAGTGTCCCCAGGGGGCAGGATCACCCTTTGTAGAGACACACATGAAAGTATGTACGGATAAAAATCCAGAAGGAGGGACTGGAGGTGCAAGTGGAGCAAAGCCACACTATTCCAGCGGGTGACGGACACGTGAGGGTTCACGGCGCTACATAATTTTTCATAACGTATTTGAAACTTCCACAACGATAAAGCTCAACACTTTAGAGCCTGCTGACATTTTCCCACACATTCCATTCACGGCCAACAGCGTCCTCCCTGAACTGAAGAACGGCCGAGGGGCCGTGCACCAGCTCCTCGACCGCCCGCGCCCCAGCTGAAGTGCATTCGCAACGCTTAAGCTCCCCTTCCCCGGGGCCAGGGACCAGCCAAGGGGCCCAGGCCGCAGCGCCCAGCCCACAGTGCCTCGGGGAGACGGCTCAGGCGGCATCGCCCCGGGAAGGCTCCTGGAGAACGACGCCCAGGCCCCGGCACCCCGGGGTGCCGCAGGGCCCGCCGGCGCTCACCTCGGGCAGAAGCACGTCCAGGACGAAGCGGATGCCGTCCGCGTGCCCGCGTGCCAGCAGCCTGCTGCCCGCCTCCTGGTACACCCCCTGCAGGTACTTCACCACCAGGTCCAGCTGCTCCTCGTCCTCCAGGTAGGTCTCTACGCAGGTCACGTACTGACCCGAGCTCAGGAACGTCTTCAGCCACCTGGACGGCTTCCTGTTCTTCAGGATGGCCCGCAGGTGGCTCTCGGCGCCCCGCGCCTTCACGATGTACTCCACCAGCTTCTGGTTGGCCCGGTCCCGGGCGGCCCGCGAGCGGTCAGGGAGCACCTTCCTGCAGGCCGGCCTCCTGCCCTGCGGGCTCCCTGCCGAGGCCTCCTCGGGGCCCACCCCGCTCAGCGGGGGGAACCTGGTCCCCTGGACGTCCCGCTGGATGGACTTGCGGACGGGGCAGCCTGCGGAGGAAATGCACTCCCGTGACTGGGTGCCCTCGGCTGCGCCAGGACGGTCCCCGAGGGCTCTCCCCTCAATAGGACCCCCGCCCCTCGCCCCAGCTCTGCCCTCCACCCTGCTTCAGCGGCACCCTGCAGACACCAGCGACAGTAGGGCAGGGAAAGGGCCACACAGATGCCCCGGCCCCAGGCGGGTGACCTGGGCGCTGGCGGCAGGTGTGGGTGTGCAGCTGCCCTCCCGGCCCCATAGCAGAGGGAAGCGAGGGGACCCCATGGACCCAGGCATGGCTGGACCGTAGGCCTCAGGCTTGGGGCGCGCTGCCCGCCGCACACACCCCTCCAGAGCTCAAAGAAGACTGCCCCTCGTAACGGGCAAAAGAGCGGGTCCCACCTTAAAGGGGCTGCTAGTGGACTTACTTATATCAGCTGCGTAGTATTCCAAGAAAGAGCCGGCGAAGGAACCACAGCCTGCACAGGGGCGGAAGGGAAGTCAGGTCACACACAGGACTGGACTCTGCGGGGTCGTCCAGCCGCTGTGCGCCCTGACCTCAAGCCCGAGGACCCCCCACGGCTGGACCTGGGACGGATGGAAACCAGCCCAGATTCAAAGGAAACTGTTCTGTTCAGACCCAGGATGAGCCTCCACCAGGCGCCTGCCCATCTGCAGGGATGGGGAGAAGCCTGCTCAGGGCCGGGCTAGACAGCTATGGGGGCCGGGCCACCCTCCGCCCTCCGGGGCCCTCAGGGGAGGCCCCGCACTGCTGCCCCCCGTCACTTCGTGCAGGGGCACCGGAGTCCCACGTACCCAGCCGGACCCTGTAGTCGGTGATGAGGGAGACGCACCAGCCGATGGCCTGGTCGAAATCCTCCTTGGCCTCGTCCTGCAACAAGACCGAGATGGCGGGCGTCAGCCGGGAGGACCTCCGAGGTCCCACGTCCTCAGTCCCCTCGTTCAGGAAGGGGCCTGCAGACGCCCCCGCACAGGGCTCCCTGCGAGGCATGTCTGGGGCCGGGGCTGCTCAGAAAACAGTCACCTGTGAGCCAAGCCCTCGGGGCCGAGAGAGACACCACAGACCCTGAGAGCAGGAGGGCGAAAACCCACTGCAGGGCAGCTGACGGGCCGTAGATTGACAAGACGTGAGGCTGCAGGAGATGAACCCCGTGGGAGACGCCTCTGGGCCCGTGGCCCTCAACTGTACATGGTCAGTGGGAAGAAGTACTGCCCCGGGGGAGGGACCCCTGGCCTGTGATCCTCACAGCAACCCAAGGCCGCACCCCTGGTGAGAACCCCTAAGCTGGGATGACCAGCGAAACCAGCCTGAGACCCACCGGCGTGTGATGGGAGGGGCAGGCAGCTCCAGAGGAGGAGGGTGCTTGGGCCGCGGCCAGGCCCGCTGACCAGCACCTGGGACAGCAGGGTGGCGCCGGCACAGGCCCGAGCTCCCACGGCCCGTTTCCAGGGGACGTGACCAGGCATCCGGGTCCCGCGAGACCTACGCACCATCTTCTTGAACCCAGGCGTCCTCGCGATAAAATCCATTCCTCAGGTATTTGAGGCACACGAATCTCAAACTCGATTCCCCCCTCCCCTCTGCCCCCGCCCTCCGGTCCCAAGAGCCCAAGGCTGGGTCCAGCGTGGGTGCCGACCTTCTGAGCAGCGCCCGCACTCAAGGCCCGTGGCCCGCTGCCCTCAGAGAACAGATGGTCGGCGGGAGACGCCCTGACAGTCCCACCGCATCCCACTCACCCGGGGAACCGGCTCAGACGCTGCTTCCCACACGGGAAGGCGTCACCCCACGCAGAGCCCAGAGCCCGCTGACCGGGGGCCAAGCAGACACCCGCGTCGGAGCGGGGCTCATGGGCCCCACTGCCCAACCCAGTCGCAGTCTGTTTTCGAAAGTTGGGACAACGAAGTGGTGGGTGTTTCAGAGTTAACAGCACCGTGTGGACCAGCTCCCGGGGACTCGGGCTGGGCCAGTCACAGGGCCATGGCGATGGTGTTCCCTGACGTATGTGGCGCTCAGGTTCACGGCCTCGGGGTCTACGGTGCCCTTTCCGGGGGCAGCTCAGACGCAGCTGCAACTTGTGGGCCTTGGCCCTGGGCTCTCCCACCTCCCCTCTGCGCAGGATGCCCTGTCCTCCACGCCAAACCTGCTCAGTGGGGATCGGCCAGCAGCCGCCCCAGGGTCAGTGACCCCCAGCGGAGCAGCCGAGGCCAGGCGTCACTCCCACAACTACCGCTGTCTGAAGGGCCTCGTGGTGGAGGACACCGTTACCAGCCACCAAGCCAGCCCTTCAAAGCAGCACAAACAACCATCCACGTACCAGAAGCGCCTGCTTTTCTTTACAATCAAAGTGCTTCAATCGCCGGAGAGACACCGTGATGCTGGAAGCAGAGAGAGCAGAGGTTCATGGGAACCAGCCCCATCTCGCGACCTAAAAGCGTCCTTCCTCTGGGAAAGTGTCAGGCCTCTGCCAGCGCCAGCTCGTCGGTGGAGGGAGCCCCTCGGAGCCGGGCCCAGGTGTGCCCACACTTCCAGGCCGGCTCCGGGCAGATGGTGCTTCTGCCCCCCAGTCGAGGACTAGGGGGGTGACTGAGCAGGGGGGTGCCCACGGCCCCTGCAGGGAGCCAACTTTGCTGCAGTTTGTGGGAAACGGGGGCCCAAGGAGTGTCTGGCAGGACTGACTCTGGAAGCTGACAAGCAGTCTGGAAAACCCGACCATCTGGCCGCGTCCCTGAACACAACCTTTATGGGGATCCTCATCTGGGGCTCTGGATCCCACCCCGGCCCCCTTCGCCAGCCTCCACCCAGAAGCACTCGGCAAGAGCAGAGAACAGTGGGTTTACCCTCTCCCTTTGGGGTTCATGTTTCCTTCAATGAAAAGCACACTCGCTTTCTTATCTCTTCGCCTCACGCTTTTGACCTGTTGGCAGATCCAAGAAAACCAGGTGTCAAGGACCCAGAAGGTCGTGGGTTTTGGACACTTTCCTGATATCACCTCATCAAGCACGTGACGAGGAACGCAGCCGGCTTGGACTGACAGCCGACACCGGGAAGCGCTGAGAAAGCGTTGCGTGGCCCTCAGCGCTGTTCCGACCGCGCAGAGCCAGGGCTCTACAAGAGGGATCACGGCGGCTACCTTCAGCACTTCCGCCCAGCTCAGGGCGCCATCCTCCTCATTCTGAGGGATGGGCAAAGCGAGCTCCGGGAGGCCCCGGCCGGGCCCAGCAGAGGTCAGGCGGGACACGGCAGGCTGTGGACCCCAGAGGGGCCCCTCTCGGCGTCACCAGCAACGTGGGTGAGGCTGGAGCCCGCACTCCACGGGTATCTGCGCCGCTGGCACCCATGAACCAGCAGGGCCCCCGGGAACTGGGGAAAGCGGAAAGGCGGGGAGAAGGCTGCCAACCGCAGGGGGACACGGGCACCTCAGGAAGCGAGGGTCCCCGATAATCAGCCCCCCAAACCCTGCCACGGAGCTGCACGGCAACCCCGGTTCAACTGCACGTCTGCGCTCTATCTACAGATGCCACGAAGATTTCATTCTGTCCTTCCCAGGACGGTCAGTCACGTGCCAGGAGACCATGCTGACCTGGATGAGCTCAGACTCATCGCGACAACAAAAGCCGCTCCACTGTGGCAGCTATCTTTCAGATTTACACGCCACTGCCTCTTCCTAAAAGTTAAAGAACTACAGCTAGAACCATCAGAACCCTGTCCCTGCCAGAAGACAAAGGGGTGGAAATTAAGGTGGAAATGGCAGGAGCGAGGGCAACCGGGTGGTGCCCCTGCCTCACAAATTCTCCAAGTGACCGTGGGCACCGTCCAAGCAGGCGGAGGAGGCACAGCCAGGACGTCAGCCACACTTAAGGGCGTCCCCTGCACTGGGGGCGCAGCCAGGACCTCAAACACCTGCTGTGCAACGGATGCCCCCCCTAATCTGCATGCTAAAAAGCTGAAATGTAGAATACTGAAGATGAGCAAACCATGGGCATTTTTTGGAGGCGGGCTTTCTAAGCCTGCTTGATAAAAACCTGACCTATAAGCCTCACAATCCTTTGTGCCAGAAGGCTGAGACCCCCTTTCCTTAGGTAAACGTGTCCACATTGATGCTCATGGACTCAGCGTTTCCCCAGTAACAACAGAACAGTGAACCAGCTGCCCGGGTCCCGGTGTCAAGAATGGAGGACGCTGGACCTCAGGCTTGGGGGACCAACTGAGCAAGCAGGGGGCAGAGAAGGATTCTTACCACTGCGGGCCAGAAGGGGTATTTTTGGTATTTAAGCCAGACTAGCATTCCTACTTCAAACGAACGTGGTTCTAGAATTGAAAGAAAGAAAGGAAAACAAAAAGAGACAATTAGATCCATATCAGGCACCAAAAGCAACTGATGGAGAAAACACAACCACGGAGACACTGTTTAAGCCCAGCGTTGACACAGTTCCCCTAACAGACCCGAGAGTCTGAGGGGCAGGTTTGTAACTCCTGCCCCTGGAACCCAAATGCCGACCACAAGCGCGGCCACGGTGACAGCTGGTTTCCTAGCAGTGACCATGTGCCATGTTCATGGGGACGGGGCCAGGCGGGGGCTCGGTGCCACCTCTGCAACTGCTCTGTAAGCCTCAGGTTACTCCAGAATAAAGCACTTTTTAAAGAGCTTGGCACATAAACAGAAAGGAGACCACAGCACACAATGAAGACCCCATACGGGGACTGAATTTCTGAGAAGCTCATTTGTCTGGGAAACTAGGGGCTTTAAAGGGTTAAAAAAAGGAGAACCATTCAAGCAATCGTAAGATAACTACAAGTAACTTCTCATCAAAATTTAACTGCAACCTCCACCAAAAAAGTTCCAGAATGTGTAAATAACTCAAATATTCAAGAACCGCTGCGGTGTCTGACAGGAGGAAGGGCTGTGAGAGAAAGGGGACCTGGTGGACAGGGAGCTGCCTGGGGCACACGCAGAGTGCTGGTCACCCGCGAGAGGAGGGTTGTGGCCCCTAGGACGACGGGTCACGGGTGCAGACAGCCAACCAGGGCTGACCGGCCAAAACACCAGCAAACCAAAACCAAATGGAAGACAAAACCGGGAGAAAAGATCCAACGCCCAGGCTTCTGGGGCTCTAACTGACCCCCATGTGGAGATGGGGACGGAAACGCCCTCTGCAAGAAGGCACGGCGGACCCCTGCGCCCAGCGAGCCCGCGGGGAGCTGACCCCAGTGACTCCCCAGGAGCCCAGGCACTGCAGCCCAGGCGGAAGCATCCAGACACCCCAATAACCAGCTGCCACCAGGAACAATCGGCAGAGCCCGCAGGAACCGCCCGAGGCTCGCGTACACAGAAAGGGCAGGGAGCCTGCTGCGTGGGGACAATGGGGGACAGGAGTGGGGGCTCCAGGCCAGCCCCCCGGCCGTGCAGGAGAAGCCCCCAGGCCTCCCGTGCTGCTCGTGCTAGTCTGTGCACGCGTAAATGTTTCACAATAAAAAGATCCAAAACCCAAACCACCCCCAGACCACATTAAGACTAACGGTTAACGGGCGAGTCTAATAGGGAAACCGGTCCTCAATTATTTAGTTGAAAGCAAACTAGCTTTCCGTTCCTGGCCGGTTCTGACCTTTGGGCCTGTGTCTGAGCCCCTTCCGGGGAGGACAGGGGCAGCTGACCTGTGCCCGGGGGCGGGGGCACTGTGCACACATGGGGGCGCCAAGCCCCTGCTTCTCCGGACGCCACCCGGGAAGGCTGCGAGGCAGCACCAGGCCGCACCCAAGCGGTGGCGACACAGCCCATCTATTCACTCCGCTGCCGTCCTCTGTCCCCTCTGAGGGGACAACAGGGAGGCTGGGCTGTCGCGCCCCAGGGAGCGCCCCCCTCACGTGGTTGTCCTGGACAGCGGACCCCGAACTCCCTGTCTGTAAGCCCTCGGCTCAGGACGAAACCCAGGCAGTGCAGCAAGAGACCTTCCCGGGACGTCGGGCACCGCAGGCCTCCCCCCAGGAAGGCGCCGCCCACTCACCGCGGTACAGGAGGATTCTCGGGGGCTCCTCGTCCTCCTCGTCCTCCGCCAGGAGAGAGTTCACGGCGTCCAACTCCACTGACTCTTCAGAAGGTGGACGGGCTGCCAACAAGGGTAGATCAGACTTTCCCCGTCACAGTCCTGGGGACTCAGCCCGGGAACAACACCTCCTGATACGTGGGCATCGGCGCAGAGAGCAAAGCTGCCGCGACGCAGACTTCCCCGCGGCCTCACTCAGGCAGGGCACGTCGGTTAAAGCACGTTCAACAGAATAAGAGAGAAAGGAGGGCAGGAGAGATCGCGAGCGCAAGCAGGGAAGGTGGAGGAACTGGGTAAGGGGTCCTCGCGTGAGGCTTGTCCCTTCACGCAGGCGCCCTCGGACACGCGGGGAGGGGGTGGCCCTGGGGCCAGGCCCCTTGGGAAACCATCCCCGCGCCTCCGGCGCCGGGGAGAGGGCCCCTTTCAGAGGCCGAAGAAAGGCAGAAACCCAGGAGTGACTGCGGGGCAGGCAGAGCGCAAGGTATCAGCCGTGCAGAAATGAAGATTTCCAAATTAGCATTTCAAAACTAAGCGGGATGTTACAATGTCCAAAGGGAGAGAATCATAGCGCCTGGCTGCAGTCACACAAAAATACATGACACGGGAATCCTTAAAAAGTCAGGAGCCTTTTAAGTGAGTTAATCACTTTTGAGATTCCTGCCAATTTAACGGGAGTGCATCATGGCTTCTGCCACGGGAAGAAAAAAGGAATTAATCCTCGGGGAGCAGATGCAGCATTATCACAGCCACATGCTTCCGCCCCGCGCCCCTCCACTCCCTCCCTCCGCTTCAAAACAAAAATAAAAACACACAAGTATTTGGGAGCAGTTGAGGTAATTACAGCCCAGTGGGAGAGACAGACGAAAAGGACTTAGGAGATCTCTGCTTGGGATCTATCTTGATAACAATCTAATTCAGGATCTGGTTAAAAATACACAGGTGGGGCTTCCCTGGTGGCGCAGTGGTTGAGAGTCCGCCTGCCGAAGCAGGGGACACGGGTTCGTGTCCTGGTCCGGAAAGATCGCACATGCAGCGGAGTGGCTGGGCCCGTGAGCCATGGCTGCTCAGCCTGCGCGTCCGGAGCCTGTGCTCCACAACGGGAGAGGCCACAACAGTGAGAGGCCCGCGTACCGCAAAAAAAAAAAAAAAAATAGATGGGTGTCTGGCTCCGGATGGGCCGCAGGAGAAGCAGACGCCGCCCCCTCCCCGGCACACGACTCGTCCTCTCCGGGGCTTTTACCTCCCTCCAGGAGCCGGGCGTCTCTGGTCTCCTCTGCGGGGCCGAGCTGAGTGGGGCTGCGCGGAGCCACGCGGGGCCCCGGCCTCTGGCCGCTGTCCGGGCACAGGTGCTGGGCAGGGTGGCCACGGGCACCAGGGCCGCCCCGAGGACCCTCGGCCCCACCTCCGGGAGAGGAGCGCAGGGCTGCCGGGCCGGCCACCATCTCACTCTCTTCCTCCCGAGCTCCCTCTGAAGTCGGAGGCGCTTCCTGACCCCAGCTGGGCCCCCGTGCTAGGTTCCTCTCCCGTTTACTCGGTGTCGTTGTCCGGTTCACCGTCCGGTTTGCCCGGTGTTTTCTGGATCCCCGTCCGTCCTGAGCACCACTGCCGGCCAAGGAGACAGCTGGGGCGCGCAGGCCTCCGCTTCTCCCAAGCCCCTTCCTGTGGTCCACTCTGCACCCGGGGTCCTCCTTGCGAGCGTGCAGGCCGGACAGCCTCTGGGGCGCACGTTCCCTCCTCGTGTGCCCAGGACTGCCCGACGCGTCTTTGTGGAGCAAAGGCGAAGGGCTGGGGTGGCAGAGCGAGGAGGCCGGTTCCGTGGGCTTCGCTCTCAGAGACCGAGTGGTCCTCTCTTCCCTGGAAGAGCTTTCTTGACGCGGACAGGTTCTCTCATTCAAAACATCCAGAGCCACGCGGAGCGACCGCCTGTAGGCCAGCTCCTCCAGGGGCGTGGCAGCAACCTCATTCTGCAAGGCTGAAGGACAGAAAAGGAACAAAGCCTGGTGATGGGCAGACAGCCGGCACCGACCCGAGCGGCCCTCCACTGGCTGGGGGCCCCCCCCCACTGGCTGGGGCCCTCCACTGGCTGGGGCGTCTCGCTGGGACCTCTTGTCTCGGCACCTGAAGGGAGGCTGACGCTTCTCACCTACATCTTCCCAAAGGAGGGACCCGGACGACAAAACAACAGTTGAGGGCTGCAAGGCTTCCCTTACCCAAAAGCAAACTGACTGACCCTACCCTGATTGGGTTACAGAGATGCATTCCTCCAGGTTACAAAACAATGCCGCCGGCTGAACCTATTGAGATGTTTGTCCGACCCTCTCTCAGCCTCACGGTTTCAAATTCAATCAGGATCAACAGAAACCCACACCAACTAAAGAACTCTGCGGGCAGTGTACTCTGGGGTGGGAGTGACGAAAAGACAACTAAGAGGCTCCTCGTGGGCCGGTAAATCTCCTACACTTCTCTGCAAGGGCGTTTCCAAGCCAGCAAGCGGCACCAGGGGCCTGGAAACTTCAGCCTGACCTCCCCGCTGCAACAGCTTTCCTCGTTCACTCTGACGCGCAGGCGCCGTGCTCTTTATCTGAACGAGGGGACGAGGGGACGGAGGCGACGCCACAGCTCAGCAGGCATAAATTATGCCTCCATCAACACAGTGTTTGCCCGTCTAACGGTAAAGGCGCCCACAAGCAAGTGGCCCCCCAACACGGGCTGCACGAACAGTCACGGCATCCGAGAGGTGCTGGTCGCTGCCGCCCGAGGCAGGCATCGTGCTCTGAACAAGAGC